GTCATGGTGAGGATTTCTGTGACCAGGCCGGTACCGATGGTTCTGTTTCCATCTCTCAGAGTGAACCTCTGGCCTTTCTCCAGCACCATGGGCTGGCGAAGCGTCAGCGTCAACGACGTGTCCTCTCCTGGCATCACCATTTCCTTAAACGGAGCAACACAGTCATCGTCCCGCAACAGCCTGTCTTGCAAATGAGACTCTCCACCTGGTCCAAAGGAGACAACAACCCTGGAAGACGCTCACCTTGTCTTTAGGTAGAGTGATCCTGCAGGCCATGTCCCAGGTGAAGGAAAACATGACGGGCATGAAGTTGGTGACGAACGGTTTGTGTCGGCCTCCCTCCTCCTTACTCAGAACATAAACCTGGAAAACATTAAACACACTGTGAATCGTGTTAGCTGATAACCCTCGTTTCAAACTGACAGACTGAAAATAAAGATTTGTTGATGAAATATTTGGGGGAAAGAAAAACTTCAGCCACATGCGCTGGCTTTGCATTAGTTGAATCCAAAAGTTTGACTTCTGCTGAAACCTACAAGGGCTTTACAATACAGATGTGGTTTTTCTGCGAAACGTTTTGGGTGATCAGAGGAAAGAAAACAGCAAAACAAGCAAATATAGCTCAGAAGACATGTTAAAAAACTTTAAATTGTATTAAATTAATACATGAATTGAAGCATTGCAGAAAAAAGTTAACTGAATTAACCATGTATGCGTTAGAATAAGCGGATTCTTTGACGTTGGAAGTAAGTAAAATTAAAGGAATGACCTGAGGGGAGAGTTTAGGTCAAACTGTGGTGCTTTGATTTCGTCACAAAACAAATTTGCCAACTTAACAATCTTGACCTTTTAACCTCTCCAGGGTGAGAGTGTGCGCCAGGAATGAATTAGAAAGGACTTGAAAAAAAAATCCAAATACGCAAAAAAAAATAGACTTCATATCTGGTAATAGTGGAAAGTCTTCCCAAAAAAAAAAAAAGAAGAAAAACTTATGACTTACCAACTTGATAAGTCATAAGTTGGTGATTATTTAAAGAGATATATAAAGAGACTAGTTAATGCCTCCACACCTGTGCTTTGACCTTCTGGTGCGGCATGATGGACCCCGGCTTACACATCACCATCCCTCTCCTCACGTCTTCCCTCTTCAGGCCTCGGACCAGAGCGCCCAGGTTATCTCCGGCCTCGGCCCGGTCCAGAGACTTGTGGAACATCTCGATACCTGAACCCAAGACCAGCAGACGGCTTCGCTCATCATGTTGAAGAAGTTTCCGTGTAAATGTTGCAGCAGGTCAGGTGCTTCGATATCGTAAACAAGCGTCCACCCCTCAAACTGTTCTCACATTTTGTCCCATTACAAAGGACAAACTTTATTTATTTTTTTTAATTGGGATTTTCTGACAAGTCAACATATAGTTCTGCATAATCTATTAAATGGGTGGTGATTTTAACTATAAAATACAATTGAGGTTTGTGGTTCCTATATGACAAAATTAGAAAAAAATAAAGAAAATAGGAAATGCTGTTGCAAGGCCACCATATTGACTCCCTTGGATTTGCTGATACTCTTTGAACATCATACACATTTTATTTAGTGTCACAAGATGGAGTCGCTCACCTGTAACTACAGCCTTGAAGGAACGGTTGTGACCCACAAACTCACAGTCGTCTCCTTTCTTAATCAGGCCTCTCTCCAACGTCCCCGTCACGACGGTCCCTCTGCCTAAAGTTTAGATACGTGTTAATTTCTTCCAGTATGCTAAATACTACAGATACTTTTGGATTTTATGTGTAAAAACATACCTGAGTGCATGAGAGGAGCTTACCTGGGATAGAATGAACCCCTTCGATGGGCAGGAGGAAAGGCTTATCTAGCTCTCTTTTGGGCAGAGGAACGTAGGAATCCACAATCTCCAGGAGTTTCATCACCGCGTTTTCTCCCAGTTCAGGCTGCTTGTTCTAACATGGAGCAAAAGCATCAGCAACATGAAACAACTGGGACACATCAGGCTGATGATCGTCGGTCAAAACTAAAGAAGACAGTAAAGCGTAAGGTGTGTCCACAGACAAATTAGCGCCTACCTCCAGGGCGCAGAGGGCAGAGCCGATCACAACGGGAGTGTTCTCGCCGTCGTAGCCGAACTCTGTGAGCAACTCGCGAATCTCGATCTCCACCAGGTCCAGCATCTCTTTGTCCTCCACGGCGTCGGCCTTGTTGATAAAAACCACCACGTGCTCAACGCCGATCTGCCTGGCCAGCAGAAGGTGCTCCCGCGTCTGAGGCATCTGGCCGTCGGTGGCCGCCACCACCAGGATGCAGCCGTCCATCTGGGCTGTGCCCGTGATCATGTTCTTAAAGACGGAGAACGTGGATCAGGCTCACCACCCAGAGCTCAAATCCAGGACTTTTTTTAGGCCACTTTTGCCTCATTACGGAGGAATTAAGGGATGAAAAAATGGATGAAGAGACTTTTTGTCAGGCCGTGTGTCAGGGAAAAGCAAAGCAGATTACCTTGACGTAGTCAGCGTGGCCGGGGCAGTCTGTGTGGGCGTAATGTCTGTTGGCTGTCGTGTACTCCACATGAGAGGCGTTGATGGTAATTCCTCTGGCCTTTTCCTCTGGAGCATTGTCAATGTCCTCATATTTTTTGTAACTTGCGCCACCAGCATCAGCGAGCACTGCAATTAAAAAAAAAAAAGAAAAAAGGAGATGACAATACAGAAATAAATAATAAAAGGAAGACGAACTGAATCTCACGAGTTTTGATCTGAAGGGATTCTACCTTTTGTGATGGCTGCGGTGAGGGTGGTTTTGCCGTGATCGACGTGGCCGATGGTGCCGATGTTCACGTGAGGCTTCTCTCTGCTGTATGTCTTCTTGGCCTCTACTGCGAAGGTCCGCCGACTCAGAGGCACAGCACACTGCAGGGAAAAGACAAAGCAGGACTCAGACGCTAAAATCCCAGCTTACCGGCCTGAAAGTGACAATCCGTCTGGTTTCTTACGAGTTTGAACGAGCTGTGCAGAAGGCTTGGTGAAGTAAGCTGAAGGGCTGAGGGAAGAAAATACAAATGTGTTAAAATGTTACATTTGTTTAGATCATTGGTATAGTTTGTGAAGTTTATTTCCTGCTGTAAAGATGGCATTTTTTTCTGTTTTTACAATTTCCTTATTTATCTTATGAGAAAAATATTAAAATACATAATTTTGTTTTCACAACTCTCTCCATGCAAGTTCTTTTGGGGTATCTATGGATCAACAATATTCTGAGCAAGAAGGACTTTAATTTTAATCGAGATTTTCTGTAAGGATTTTGTTGCCTCTGTGTATCAATTTAATAATATGTGGTATAAATAATTGATGCTTTTTTGTTAAAAAAAAAAAAAGAAAAATTATATCATGGTATCTGTTTCCTGATCAGGTTTTTGTATGAATGTGATGAAGCTCAAATTACATGCCTAACATAATGTTCAGATGAAAAAAAAACAACAATTTTGTGTGATATGTTACTGTAGTTTGGAAGCTTTTTTATTATTATTTGCATAATCTTGTCATGCACACCACTGATCACATTAGGCCACAGTAATAACATATAGCCTATGGATCACTAAAATCATCAAGAGATTACATTTATTCTTTAAATCATTGTTATTAATCTGACGTGTCCACTTTAAGTCACAATCACGACCCCAGACTAATTTTCACGCAAATAAACCAGGTTCTGCTGGTTTATTTGTAATAGTTGCCTGTTTTCAATGCGGTTGCACCTCAGAATTTTAAAGCATTATGCAACACGACTGTATAGTTGTAACTTCTGACTGAACTGCACCAACAATCTAAATGTTAGGTGATAAAATTGCACAGGAACAGTTTAGCTTTTCATGCATACGTGCAGCTCTGCAGCACGTAACAAACGAACAAGCCATCTGAACCAACTGTGATCGATACACGAAGTTGTTCTTCAGACGAAGAGTGTGTTTATGTACCAAAATGACTATTATTTGAGTTTTTTTAAAGCACTTCTTTGTCTCAGACTTTATCCGCATTATTTCCCATCGTTAGCTAACCCTCACCGGGGTAACGTGACCTTGCTGTGCTATCGGAAGAGACAGCATCACCTCCTATCTTTATTGCTTACGTTTATCCTCAGTAAATAATGGTTCCGTGGCTTAAATAGCTTGAATGCAATCAAAAGAAATCACCAAGTACACTAAGAAACTAATATTTTTACCAGAGAAACAGGCACGCAGCCCCACAAGCGCCGCCATCTTGGATAGTTAGACAAACCAAAGATTGTGACAACACCAAGAGGATACTCTGACTCCACGCACAGTTGTCGTGACAAATTGACGTTACAAGTGTCGTAATTTTTCTAATTACGACTCAAAATTTTACTACGCTTTATTGATGTAGTCGTAATAATTGACTTGACTGTGTATTTATGTAGTAGTAAATCATTTAATGATTTCAAATTTAGATGTCACTGCAATCCCAACTTTATTAAAATCAGGTTCAAACATTACGCATTTTTAGTTTTTTGTAGTCCTCGCGTGAGTTAGCATACTTAAATGTAATAAGTAATGATTCATAATATAATATAATATAATATAATATAATATAATATAATATAATATAATATAATATAATATAATATAATATAATATAATATAATATAATATAATATTCAAAGTTAAAGGAAAGAGGAGGGTTCACTTTAAGCTTCAAAGTTACTCTTTGGAAGTTCCGCTGACTCACTTACCTTAAGTACACTAATATGGTTAAACTTATTTTTTTCGCTTTTAAATATGGGGTTTGTATCTTATAATTATGAATAAATAAACAACCTAAAATGAATAAAACATGCAGATACATAGCCTGTATTAAAGTGGGCTCAGACTTATTTTTAGAAATTACCGAAGAGCAAACCTCACAAATCGTTCTTGCTCATTATGTGCAATTTTTACGGTAAAGCATGGCGATTTACTCGTGAGCTCAACTAGCTAGAATGTTCTAGCTCTTTCACATGTCTGTGTTTATAACAGGAGACACGCTCATCTCCTGCTATTTTAGAGAAGCACAGTTTGTCTCGGTGCAGCAGGACGCCACAAAGGTAAGTTCATGATGCGTATTTCTATCCATTTTAAAGTAGAGAAATGAGAATCCAGTTTTGTTCCTAATATGTTGATGTTATCTTTATGATCATATCCAAACCCTACCATACAAACTTACCCAGCTAGGCATTTTCCTTGTCAAAATTACTCCTTTTAAATAACATCTCTCAGTTTAAAACTGTCGTGGTTTTCTCATTATATATATATATATATATAAAATAAATGTCTTGTGTAAAAAGTGTCTTTTTGACATGTCTTATTTCTTTGTGCAGGTGTGTAAGTCATGTCAGACAACAGACAGGACAGGAGGTACCCCCAGAATCTTCAGGGGGTCCTGCAGCTGGCAGTGGAGGCAGGGTCAGCTGCTGAGGGTCCAGCCCCTTCAGAGCCAATGTCAGAGGAGGTAGGCACAACTACAGCTTTTAATACCTTGACGAAGAATATGATAAACCATACAGTTGTATATTTTTGTCCTGAAGCAATAGGGAAGACCAGAATCATAATCACTCATCAAGTAGTTTGAATGTTGTCTGAGCTTGCTTGAAATCTCAAGAGAGTAAAGCAACATTATCGATGAAAAGCCCATAGCAGTACCAGTGAAACAGACCATAGTTTATAGTTCTGATTTTTAAAAATCCATGTTGACTGAACGCCCCTCCCTTCAGAGGAAGACATGGCTGAGAGAAGCTCTGTCAGATATCTGCAAAGGTCAGATGGACGAGGTGGAGCAGATGAAGCAGAGCCTGGCTGTCCTGCACAAAGAAGAACCAAACGAGAAAGAGCAAGATGCTGAAGAAGAGTGGGAAGATGAGCGAGAACTGGCCTTTGAGATGCTGTCTGAGTTGTGTGAAAACCTGGACAATGCTAGAGGTTTGTGAAAGCTGGAATAGTAATTTCTTATCACACGGAAGCCAATTAAATATACTTATTTCATCATTTTCCTGCTCTTTCCAGATCTGATGACTCTTGGCGGACTGGAGTTGTGTGTCTCCAGGTATCTTTGTCACGTCCAGAGTGGGCTGAGGTGGCGGGCTGCCCAGCTCCTTGCCTCCTGTGCTCAGAATATGCCCCAGGTCCAGGAATACCTGCTAAAAGCTGACGTGCTGCCAAAGCTGCTGCAGCTTACGGATTCAGACCCCAATCCCACCGTCAGGGTGAAAGCCCTGTATGCCGTCTCATGTGAGTCCCTGAGGCTTTACGCCCTGATCCCACATTTATGAGCCATATCATAATGATACATAGGAGATGCAGAGCTCTGTTTATTAATCTGTTTTCTGTTTTCTCTGCAGGTTTGGTCCGAGAGCAGGAAGCTGGACTGCAGGCGTTCATTTCTCACGATGGTTTCTCGGTGCTGATGAGGGGTATGCAGTCTGAAAACGAGAAAGTCAGGACCAAGTCTGCTTTCCTTCTGCTCAACCTGCTGACCTCTAACCCAGAACATAAAGGTGTGAAGGAGAGACACTGATGTTGTCATTTAATTGTTTCTTTTACAGTTTGGGGAATTTCATTTCTCAGATAAATATTTAAATACATGTAATAAGCACAGTAATTTTGAAAGGTTATCAATATTTCTACAAATGTATCAGTAATTTAAGAACTACAAAAACAAATAATTAAACGTAACTTAAATCCAGAGTCATTATATTTTAAAATCATATGTAATGTGTACAGTATTGATTGAATTATTTAACATTTTCTGGGCTATGATACATTATGAAATAATTTAAACTGCCAGTTGTGGTTCTTTAAATATACCCTAAAATATACAGCTAGAGCAAAACAAATTTCTGATAGATTAAAATCTTCATGAAGTGGCAAATGTAAGGGAAAACACAAAGTATTTATTTTTTGAATAAGTTTTTCTCTCTTTTTCATTTTGTAATTGATAGAACCAAATATTCTACACATTTTACCTCCATAATTGTGGGCTTGTTCGTTTTATTTTCAAGTCTAACACTGATTTATCGAGTATGTTAATGCTGTTTAATTTGGCCTCTAACAGAAACGGTTGTGTCAATGGGGATGGTGCAGCAGCTAGTTTCTGTTCTCCGCACACCGCACTCGCCTTTCCATGAGCATGTGCTCGGTGCTCTCTGCTGGTAAGAGACTGTTTGACTTAATGCTCCTGTTGCTCATTGTCAGTAGTAGACCGCAGCAGTTTGCTCCCCAGCAGAAGCATGTAAATGAATAATGTGAAAGTGAATACTAGGTACTGATGTCCGACCTCATTTGCTGCTTGTCTAGTTTGGTTGAGGACTTTCAACAAGGCCTGGAAGACTGCAGGAACCCAGCTTTGGGTTTGGAGGAATTCCTCAGGCAGCGAACCAAAGAGCTCCAAGGAAAAGAAGAAAGTCAGGTAAATAAAAACTTTTATCATGGGAAAGAGTATCCCACTTTTCCCCAGTTTGTCACATACCAGAAACTTCAGTATATTTTTTTGCAATTTATGTGATGGATCTACACAAAGGAGTGCATAATTGTAAAGTTGAAGGAAACTAGTTTTCAGATTTTGCATTTATGTCCATATTCTGTTGTCTGGGTGAATATTAATTGGGCACTCTTAAGGAGAAGAAAGCTACAATAAGTTGCCACAAGTCATGTAAGAAAACAGAGTGAATGTATAGAAGACGGTTCTTTGGTTCGATGACCCCAAAATCAAAGTTCTACATTTTAGAATTCAAAAAACTTCAACATTTCAAAGTCATAGTTAGATAAGCTTTAATACTTCATCATTTAAAGTCTTCCTGTATCTTTCACCAACAGGAGGAACTTGACTTCTGTGAGCGTTTGAGAGTTTTGTGCTTCAACGGGCAGCAGACAGATGATGTTGGGATGGATCGTTGAGTCAATTTCTATTTTTAAACCTTGCCTGTTTTTTTGCTTCTGTATGAGTAGAAAAATAGAACGTTCATGAGCTGAATCGTGGATGTGGAGCAACATTTTTTGTCTGTTACGACAGTTGATGTTTTGCATGTAAACCACATGTTGGATTTTTACTGTGTAAATACTTGTTCTGTATAAAACTTCTGTTCAGCTCTTCACTTCCACCTCTTTATGTTTGTTCTTCTTTTATGTAACAAAAACCCTGCCCATAATTAGTATTTTTATATTTTTTGGTGTATGTACAAATGTGATTTTTTTTTTCTCAGAACAAACATTTTATTAATTTAAAGTTGGGGGGGTGAAGAATGATTTTTTTTAATCAAACTTTTTATATAGAATTCTCACAGTTGTGGACATTGGAAATATTTATTGTAAATAAGATACTGCTGTTCATATACATTCAATGGGCGGTTTGTATTATGGCATCACATGTACAATCTATACATTAACATGAATTTCATGTCAAAATATGTTCCAATAAATCCCAGAATATACAGTTGCTTACAAAAGTATTCAGCCCTCTTGAACTGTTCCACATTTGTCACCATTCAACCTTAACGTATGACCATTCTCTGTCATACGTTAAGGTTTTTCACTTTAACGTATGACAGAGAAGAAAAAATATGCAGTTTTAAACTTTTTCTTTACAAATAAAAATAGGAACCAAAAATTAATGTTTGCCTTAGATCTAAAATGCAGTGAGCTTTGTGAAACTTATATTATCCTCTCCTACTGAAAGCATCATACTGTGTAGAAACTGGATATTATGTAGGGGAAAATTAAAGAATAACACTAGACAGCTAGAACTTCAGTGGAGTGGTTTGGATGAAAGCATGTCCATGTTATCAAATGGTCTAGTCATAGCTGTAGAAGTAAATCCAGGTAAGATTTTAATTATTTTGCAGTGAAAAATGGGCAAACATTTCCACTGAATTCAAATAAAACACATTGAAGTTTGTGATTTTAATTTGAACAGAATACAAAAAATTTTAAGGAGTTTGAATACTTCAGCAAACCACCAGAAATGCTCCACTCTTTCCTCCTCGGCCGCTTTAAATAGAAATGTGAATATCAGCACTGAAATCTAAATGTCTCGTGGTCTTGTCTTGTCCCAAGCTTATTTTACATTAAGTTGATTTAACAAACTGCACCTTATTTTTATTGCTTTGGTAAAGAGGAGATGCTCTTCTGATGTTAGGAGCACCTCAAAGATCCGGTTTAGGACCGCTTCCACTTTGAAAAGTCATCCTTGTCCTCCGCTGCTTTTATGTCACCCACAGCAATCAGCAGCTGCGCCAAATAATAAGTCACCATGACAACAATCTGACCATGCTCTATTGGTGGCAAAACTTTGAAGACCTGCAGAGCCAGGGAAGCATCGGACACCATGAAGCTCAAACTCCCCAATAACGTAGCTATGTGGCGCGTCCGGATGGCTAACGCAGCCATCGCCGTGATTAGGATGAAGTAGATCCCTACGCCAGGAGTCAGTAGGTCAGAGTTCGGTGCCTTCTGCAGGAACGGAAAAAGGTAGATGTAGAAAGCTCCTCCCACGATTACGAGGACCAGATACAGAAAGCGGTTCAGGGACGAGGAGGTGGAGGAATATGTCGCATAACGGCTGGATAGGAAGGTGACGGAGTAGAGCAGGTGAGCCACAGCGAAGGCACCCATTCCTGAGACAAAGGGTTGATTTGCAATATAAAAACATGATTAAATAAAATTGATCTTTAACAATTGAGGGAATTGTACAGCTACTTTAGATTTAACTGAAGATCCTTACCATGGATGAAAAGCTCAGGCCACACCAAACAGATGTCCCCCACAGCAGAGAAGATCAGCCCCCCTGCCACACCCAGCGCGCTCTGCCCTCCGTTCCAGCTGAGGACCACCACGGCCAGCAGCAGAGTCGGGGCCGCTTTGACACCTGCGGAGACTCCTGATGGGACCAAATCAGGAGTCCAAAGGTAGAAGTATAAAGCCGAGGACAAAAAGAAGGGCAAAAGGGAGAGAAGAAGGGCACAAGACTGGAAAAGAGAGGCAAATAACAGCAGTATTTGTCACATTTTTCTTACTTACTAGACTTTAGTCTGCTTAACTAATAATTTTTTTTTTTACAGAAATATTAAATTACAAAAAAAACAAAAAAATAGGGGTAAAAACTACCATGTTCCTCCTTCGGCGCTTGTAATAGGCATCAGTCTCAAGGATGTCCATCTTCACCCTGTTAGCTCTTTTCCTTTACTAATGAATAAGGATCTGCATTAAATGACACCAGCATGCGGATCCTCAGAGGTTCTCTGCGTCCCTCGCCTTGAATCTGCGCCGTTCCTCTCAGTCCGCTGGACTTCCACGAACGTGAACTTTAGACCGGTCCTTCCGGTCCGATTGCTCTCTGATAATCAACGTTCTCCTCGTTTCAAGTTTTCATGGACAAACAGCTGACCTTTCACCTTTCCATTGGTAATATGTTGATGACATGAGCAAATAGGGTGCAAAGTCAAACCGTGTGTTACAGCTGAGAATCTATATGTGCAGTATGATCAAAAAGATTAATTGGGTAAAACCGAAGAGAGATCATTGATATCATTTAGAAATCTGATTTTTTTGCTTCAAAATCCGTTTGTGACAAAAGATGCTAGGGCTGACAGAAGTCCATGACCTTTAATGCCCCTCGTATTCAAAGAAATTCAATAACCTTCTGTCTTCACTGCAGTTTTTATTGCCCCAGGATTATGGATCTGAAACTGAAATCCAGGCGCTTATAGGAAGAGCACTGTGTCTAATACTTTCCAACGCAAACAATGATTAACTGCAGCTGCTCAGAGTCAAACTTTGTCCTTAGTTTTCCCATGATTCCCTGTTTTGAGTTGTGGCTGGACATTGCTCTTCAGAGGGAGACATACAGTGATCAGGTAAAGGAGACCAGAAAACAGAGCAATGATGTTAGAGTGTCAGGTTAAAACAGGTGTGAGCATATGTAATTGTTATTCTTCTGTCATCTGCACAGATTATGGACACTAATTCTTCCGCTCTGAGAGTTGGAATCGTTGGATATGGACACCTCGGTATGAACCCCATAGCCATACTCTTTGGAGGGCTGACTATTGTTTGTCTGACGGCATGTGGTTGGATGTTTATGTGCTTTAGGGCAGTTCCTGGTGGACAAACTCCTTGAAGCTGGAGCTGGTCTTGGCTTGGTTCTGGGTTTTGTCTGGAACCGGAATCCCAACAAGCTCGTGGGTTCAGTCCCTGCTGAACTGATACTCGATGACCTGCCGTCCTTCGCAAACAGGTTTAAATGCACGCATGCGCACTATCGCCAAGTGAAAAACAACAACAACAACAAAAACGGTTAGGAAAAAAAAGGGAAAGACATCAGGGGGTTGTTTTACAAATAAAGGACAGCGGACTAAGCCGGGATTTTCCGGATATCCTGGCTGGCCTCGATTCGGTTTTACAAAAGCAGTGGCACATGAGTTACCACAGTGATTAATGACATAGACCAGGCTAACAACCAGGCCTAGTTAATCCTGGAGCCTCGTCTGTTCAGTGAGCAGTCAGAGCCCTCAGAAACCTGCATGTTTAGTCAGTGCTTCCTTTCTGATTCAAGTCTTTTTCATAGACTTGCATTAAAATACCACACATTCATCTTTGAGTTAGAAAAAGTACAATATAAGTCACACTATACTTCAAACACGCACTTATTTACGTCGTGAACATACCTTGTGCCTCAATTAAGGTGCATTGTTTGAACTTATCTTCTGTCTTTTAATTGCCGTTAAGCTGCCTTTGCGCTAACAGTTAAACAGGAAATTGCTCCTTCAAAATAAAAGCACCACAACTCAAACAGGATGTTCGCCTGGGTCAAAACTAATTAAGAGCGATGTTTTATCCATATGCTTCCCTGATACTGAACATGTTCCTATGTTTATATTAATATCTGTATTTAATCGATAAGAATTGTTTGCTGTCAGATTCACTTATTTGCTTCCGCTTTTTTTTTTTTTTTTTGTCATTTAGGTAAATGACAAATTGGATTATTTGACCTACATGCAAAGCACACTACACATTACCCTCACCACATCAATATCCACCAAGTGAAAAGTGGTGGTGGCAGGACTATGTAGGGATGCAAGTCAGAGTTAACGGGAAGGTGGATGGTGGTAAAGACAGGACAGTCCAGGGAGAAAACTTGATTTTAAGGGACTGATTTAGATGGATGCATATTCCTATGAACGACTCAGTCAAACTTCAGACCTCATTCTGACTGAGAAACTGTAGCAGTTTCTGAAAATTAATCTCAACAGATTATTGGTTTCATCCAGTTTGATGGAACTTGGATGTATTTTTCTACAAGGAATGACAAAGATATCAAATGCATGAAGTTGGTTGAGACGTATGAAAGACTTGCAGCAGAAGAACCAATTTACTACATCAAAGTTTTGTGTGAACACGCATGCCACACCTTTTAGATTTGTATTTGTTAAATGTTTTAAAACCAATTAATTTCCTCCCTCCCATTTCACAGTTATGCTCCATTACACTAAATTGGTCTATGATATGAAATCCCCCCAAAATGTATTTACGTTTGTGGGGGCAGTGTGTCAAAATGTGAACAAGTTCAAGGCGTATGAATACTTTTGCAAAGCACAACCTTGATTATATTAGAAACGTTTGTTACAGTTGTTTTGCTGGTGATTTCACAGGCGGTGTGATGTGATTGTAGAGGTGTGTCATCCACAGATCGTGAGAGATTTTGGACTCAAATTTCTCTCTGAGGCTCACTTCATGGTGAGATTATTTTCATTAATAAATAAAATACAAACTTAGCTTACATATTACTTGCTGGAGTCTTGTATTGCTCTTCTAATTAAAATATCACAAAGAGACAAATCTTGGATACAAGGATGTTTGCAATACCTTGCTAACTGCAGTTTTAAAACAATGTCAATAAGATGGATGATTAGTCAATTGAAAAATATAACAAGGCTCAGTTTTTGTAGGAAAATGCATAATCTTTCCACTTGACTATAAACTGTATTAATATACAACAAACTTCACAACACGCTAAACCTTTTAGGTGGGATCTCCGTCTGCCCTTTCTGACCCTGATCTGAACCAGAAACTGCGGAAGGCATCTCTAGAACATGGCAGGACACTTTATATACCCAGCGGTGCATTATGGGGAGGCCAGGACATCCAAAGAATGAACGATAGTGGGACATTAAAGGTATGCCTACGCCTGCAATGTTAAGACTTAATAAACTGCCAAAGAGAGCTGCTTATTTTAATGTCTTAACTGTGCTCAGTTCTGTTATGCTTACCAAAACTCAAACCATATGGTATTAATTCTGTTTTTGTAAGACTTATATGAGAATATTAGCAGCTGCAAAAGTTTTTTCCTCCCCCACCACAACTAGAAAGTTCCTGAGATATATATGGAATCTCTTCAGGCTTTGTTCATAAGAATGTCCAAGCATCCGTCATGCTTTCGACTGACAGGAGACGTCCTCAGTGACTGGACAGAAGGAGAGGGCAGGCGGGTTTTGTTCAGAGGCTCAGTGGCAGACCTGTGTCCTCTGGCTCCTAACAACGTCAACACCATGGCGGCAGCAGCCGTGGCGGCAGGAAAGCTCGGCTTTACAGGAGTTCAGGGAGAGATCGTATCAGACACAGCGTGGGTCTTTTTACCTTACAAATCAAAACCAGCACAACTGATCGTTTCTGTCTGAACGATTTATGTCTTACTCGCCTCAGGCTGAAAGACTTTCATGTGGTGGAGGTGGAGGTGACTGGGCCTGATGGGTTCTCAGTGCACACAGTGAGGAGGAATCCAGCCAAACTCGGCGCCGTGACTGGCAGCGCAACATACAACTCTTTCTGGAACAGCTTACTCAGTGAGTCTCATGTGGTTTCACTAAATCTTATATTTCATGTGGTAGACTTACACAAAGTGGCTCATCGCTTTGACATGGAGGGAACATGATGGATGGTTTTCAATGTCTTTACAATGAATGACTGTTTTTTTTAATCAGCCAACTTCTGAGGTCAATTTGTTACAGTCTATGGTATTTAGGGGTATCAGAATAGAGGTGGGTGGATTCAAATGATAGCCACACTTTTCAGCTTTCTAGTTGAGATACGTTTTGCATCACCCTTACAGTTGTGCTCTAGTTTGTGTTCTATCACATAAAATGATGAATGTAAGAAAATGTTATAATGTTCCAAGTATGTATAAAGTGATTAAATGGATGAATCTTAATTAATCTATTATTGAAATAATCATCAACTAATTTAGTAATCGATGAATCGTTAAGTGGAGTCAACGGACTCAAAAAGAGATCAAATACTGAAAATCAACATTTTGGATAAAAACACCAATCTGTGGATATATTTTGTCCCAAAATTCCTCAAGTGGCATTGTTTCTATTCACCTGGTTGAAATTCACTAAAGGGATGACATTATATTGCATTTTAGTTTCTTTCTCATTTTGAAACAAGATGAAATGGTGTTTTTGCATCTTTTACTGCATTTCAAATATTGCATACAAGACTTACGTAGTTAAATTAAAAAAAATCTATTGAACTTGCCAATCAATTGATTGTCAGAATAATCTATAAATTAATCAATTACAAAAAATAGTTATTTGTTACAACCCTAGTTCCAGGGGAACGAGTGGTTTTGCAAGGAACAGTAAAAATACATGAAACTGCATTCTTTCATAAAAATAGGTCCAACTTTTTGTTCTTGTCAGTTTGCAGAGGTCACGGTGGCAGAGTTTACTTGTGCTGAACCCTGGAGGATTACCTGCAATGTAGGAGGAAGATCTCCAACCAAATTCCAGATAAATTAAAGAGCTCAGGATGGATACGCTGCACGTATGGTGGATCTCTACATTAGCGCGTTACTTGGCTTTGTAAACTCGCCGACCTTTCGATATGTTTCAATGAACTGAAAGCTTGGAATAAAACAAAAGACAGAAATCATGGGTAAAATACCAACATATGTAGAGCTTTCAATTTTATTTCACTGGAGAAAACAATAGAACTCACACTGAGGAGAGACAGTGACGGGACACATCTGGTAAAACCATCATCCAACCTTCATCTTGATTCCCCCATAGAGAGCAATTCTTCATCCCTTCTTCCCTCTTTCACAAATAAGTACTTCGATGAACGATATAAACTACCTTCACACAAGTGCATATGTTGACAGGTAAATGGATGTGAAATGTTGCCGATCAGTATTCCTAATTATTAGAAAACTGATAGAATAAGGCAAAAAAGATGAGAAAAAAAACATGATGCTAAGCTGAAGGAGAGGTTTTGTATTCTCTTATATCTACTGACACTTATTACTGGGCATATATATGCTCCATCTTTTTACAGTCTAGGACATTTTGCTGTAAAAAGGCATTTGCAAAAAAGCTGAAAAGAAAATAAGCAAGTTTTGCTTTGAATGAAGAAAAATGACAAGTTTGTAAAAAGATGGAGGTTTATGCCATTCTATTTCTCCTCATTTTGATCCCAGAATCTAAAATAAAGCCCCGATTCTACTCGTTACCTTATTAATGCTTTATATCTAAATTATTCACCATTAGCGCCACAAAACAGGGTCATTTTAATTCACTGGTTCCTATTTGTTTGTTTTCAGCCTACTACTGGTTGCAGTGCTGGTGTGTTTACCAAAAACCGGCTCACGGTTTTAAGGTTCTGAGGTACGCATTGGTTGGGAAGACACAAACAGTGAAGCATTTTCTTTTTTCACAGAAAGCCACGACTAAAGTAATCACACACATGAACACAGCTGCACCCATTTGTCAAGTTTGTAGTGCAAGGATGACTAATGATTGCAACGGAAAAAAAACAAGTTTCACTAGTGAGGTTCAGCATAATGCATACGAGTGTTTGCGCCTCAGTTTTTCTCGCGCGCCTCGTCCTCGCCCTCGCCGCTCCCGTTGCCTCCGAGGATGGCTTTGCCTTTAACCGGTATGGTATAGGGCTGGCGGATGTTCACGCGGTCCTTTTCGGCCTCAAGCTCCTCGTCGTAACGCTCGTCCTCTTCATTGTCTTCGGCCTCGCTGTGGTGTGGAGAGGAGTGACGGGACAGAGCCGGAGACGGAGGCACAGAGGCTGGTCGAGGGTAGCGGAAACCCGAAGCCTAAGGAATGAAACAGGATCACTGTTAAAAACTGTGAATTAAACAAACAGGACTAAAATAATCATTTTCAGAACTTTTTCCACCCTTAGCATGAAATACTTACAACTCATTTGAGAAAGGGTAAAAAAGACTTTCTATTTATTTTGGTGTCATTTTTAAAATCATGAAATCCTAGGATTTTAATAGAGGGCCTTGAAGCGTTTTTAACAATTCTTCAGTCAAACTGTCACATAATCTTACCGACGAGGGCTCTTGAGGGTCATATATGTAGGTGTCTGGGAAGGCTTTAGCCAAGGCCATATGACGAGCAGCTATGTAGTACTAAAGTGGAAGAGAAGGGGAAAAAAATTTCACTAAAAGAGGCTAAAAGATTATGTTCAGGATCTATGTCCATACTCTGCCGAGGTATCTCCAGTCGAGGAGGTCACTCAGGCGCTCTGTGCGATTCCTCTGGATGATCCGCTGGCGTCGGCTCTGTTTGCAGAACTGGAAAAGGAAGGAAGTGAGCTGGTTGCACGACTCGTCGACACCCTTGTAGCGCCGGTCAAGGATGTAAATACCTGTCGGGTAAGGGCGTAATGACAAATGTGGTCTTTCTAATCAATGTGACCATAACCTTTGAGAAATTAAAGAAAGTGAGTAAAGATACACACCGTACGCTGAAGGGTCTGCTATATGTTCCTCCATGAAACACCCGAAGCCTGACAGATTAGTAGATATGGATGGAATACCCATCACTGTGCACTCAGCTGTCAAATGACAGAAATATTACAAAGTGAGCCAAGCATAACACAATAAACATATCCAAGATATCAGCATCCCTGTGTCATACCTGGTGTATAACCCCAAGGCTCATAGTAAGAAGGGAAGACACCAAGGTGGCAGCCTCTGACAAACTCCTCGTAATCCATGGGAAGGAGAGGAGACGTGGATGAAAGGAACTCTGGGTGGAAGATGATCTGTGGAGGAAGAACAAGCTTTTCAGTACCAGAACAAGTGACTGCAGCCTTTCTCACAGCAATCTAAAAAGAAAACTAGTCCAAGTTTACAACGCAAGGTACCTAAAAAGTTGCCATATGAGAGCTTGATCTTTTCTCTAAACATGCCTAACTGCTGGCTTTAAAGCCTGTTAGGAATGATAAATGGGCCGAATGTTACTTTTAATACCGACCACTCAACACTTTTTTCACTACCGCCACTTTCACCCCATCACACTCACAAACATGAACACATGTTATTTTGAGGAGTATCAGTGAGCTCTACTGTAGTTTTAACTTTGTCCTCTTGGGGCAAAGTTAAAACCTTAGAAACAATGTCCATGGTTGTCATGGTTGTTGGTGTGTAAGGAAGAAATGGAGCAGCTGCAATGTCTGGTGGCCAATCATGGCACGTTTCTGATTTCTCAGATACGCTTATTTTCTAAAAAACTATTATAAAACAATCTGAAACAGTGAAGAGGTGCCTAATTTGTCCAAGAACCAAAATGTGATCTGTGTCTTCATGTGGGACGTATGACAACAGCTTGCTGCTTCCATAGAATTTATTTTAAGCAGTGCCCTTTATGTCCAATAAATGAAGTATAGCGTACAACCGATTTATAGGTCAACCCTCCCATTTTGTCTCTTACCTTGACTCGGTCAGCAGAGCTGTTGAAAAGGCCGATGCGGCGGACGCAGTTAAGGATGGGGTCGCTGCTGTCCTCCAGCATGTTGTGGGTGCAGACCGGAGGCTGGCACTGCCTCTGAGTCGCAAAGATGGCACGCTTCATGATGGTGAAGTCTTCTTTGTCCAGCATCTTCGACACATCTGGCAGCTGACCACTGAAAAGCACGTAGGAACAAAATTGTTCAGTCTGACCGGAGCACGTTCTTCCACATGTCTGCTGCGAGATCTTATGGCTTACTTCTTGTAACCATTTTCTAAAAGCCAGAGATTTGCGGTTGTAATGTTAAAAAAAACAACAAAAAAACCCTGAATATAAACATTTCTGCAAGATTCTCTAAAGCTGGATCTGATAAAATAGATGAGTTATTTATAAACTTCATGTTTTTTTTAATGAAAAGTGCATTTAGTAGCTTTTGATAATGTTCAGACAGACATTGTTGAACATGGTGGCACCTTAAACGTGGTGAACTTACACTAGGAGTGATTCATAAAGTTTCTTTCCAAAGCGCTCCTTCACAGTCTGGGCTGTATCCCTGCAAGGAGAGACAGAAATGGAAACATCTTTAGTCACCTGAATGGAAGTAGGAAAGGCCGATATTAAACATTTATAATCACCATAGCTGCTTCCGCACTGCTTGGCCCTTCAGCGTCTCCACGTTGAAGTTGTTGGTCCGAGCTGGCATAATGAAGAACGCTATAACGGTCACATCACTGTGGTTAACCTGACGAAGTGCAAAGAATAAAGTTCAGTTCTTCATGCCCGGGGTCCAACACCTTCAGCAGAACCACTTCACTTACTCTCAGTAGATAATTGAGTCTGGCTAACGCCTCGAGGAAGATGTCGGCTCCTTTGTTTGAGAATTCATACCTTCCTGCTATGAAGAGGAACAGACACTTGTCCAGGTTGAAGTCAAGGTTCCTGATGGTAAACACAAACTGTGATAAGAGATTTTCCAATTTTTAGCATTCCAAATTAACTCGGCAGTAACAGACTGAACTGATTCACTGCAAATCTAGGTTTTAGCGCAAATAGCCTAGACCAGTTGAAATAACACAAAACTAACTTAGAAGTAACTTCTCATCAAGATTATTATTTCCCTTATAACAAGACATTCTCCAAGTGAAATAATCTCCTATTGGAACTAGTGACATTTCCTCAATGTTAAAGAATTAGTTACTTGAACAAGCTCAGAGATCTTACTACAATGTTACTTGTAAATTAGTTTTGTCTTATTTCAAGTGGACTGGGATATTTGCACTAAAAACTAGACCAATACTTTGTAAGATTTGGTGTTTTTGCAGTGCTCAGACTGTCTGCGATGTCACGTTTTCAGGACTGACCCATAGAAGTGACCCCTGACAAACTCCTGAATGCGACTCTTGCTCTGAGCGTGGAGGTTTTGAAACTCATGCATAGCAGAGAACTTCTTCACATTGAGACCATTTGGAGTGACGATGTCTGAGGACAAACATGAAGAACCATAAACACATTTCATCCATAATCAGTGAGGTGTAATTCTCCCTTTTCCTGAGAGCCGAGTCCAACTCGACATACCGGGTTTCCTCTTGAGCAGGAACTCGGCCTCAATGGCTGTAATTTGTGACACAGTGGTGAAGACGTGAGCGCAGTGTGCAGCCGCCCGCTCCAGACAGTAGCGATGGTAAATTTGCCGATCTCCGGCTTCTTTATCCACATTGAACTGATCAGAGCAGATCGGAGGAAGAACATCATGTAAACTGCTTTTGCAGACTCTTAAAATCAGTAGCACTCCACAAAACACTCACTGAAATAATCAGCCATTTATTTTCCTGTCTCTTATGTTACAAAAAAAATATCTATTGTGAGACATTTCTTTCCTTGTCAAATGTCGGAACAGAAAAAGTAGCAAAGCTGTACCTCTGCCAGGTTGTTGTAGAAATCCACATTTCCAGCACACAAGTAGCGACCCAGCAGTGTAGCATGGGTGGTGAAAATAGTTGCAACAGGAAGCTGTCTTTGTCTGCACAGCACCAGGCCCAGACCTGCCAGCCACTCATGGAACTGGGCTACCATGTGTGGAGGATCCTCAGACTGAGCCGCATACTGTAATATCAGAAAAGACCATTTAAATGGCATGCAAGCCATTCAACTGTCCAGCAGATAGTTTATGCATAAATGTATGCATATTTTCAGCAG